GTTTATTTCCTTTTTGTATTGAGGCAGGAAAGAATAACGTAGAACTTTTGTGTTGCAACATTGTCTTTGCAGTTTGTGTTACTGCCTTCGAGAGGAGACGGGTGAGGGGGAAGAACTGGTGGGTCTTGTTCATCCTTGTGTTTTATTTTCTCTTAAATGGGGATTAACTTTAATACAGACAGTGACGTCAGTTAGGGTCCAAAGCTCAGCCTAAGTATCTGGATGTTATTTAGTTTGTTAGATAGTGGGTGGGTTTTTTTTTTTTTTTTTTTTTTTTTTTTTTGTGGAGCAAAGGCCAACCCCCTAGAATACTTATTTTGGAAAAGAACAGTAGTTTTTAAGGGGACCGAGTATCAGAGTTTCCTGTGAGCAGGTAATCTCTTAGCACTTTCTGAATATACAGATAATACCATAAACAAGGAATGTGTCACCTTTCTATATACATATAGAAAGTCTACTGTAGTACAGTATTTGCTTGTTATTTGGGAGCTTTTCTCCCCTACCTTGCATTTAGCCCTTCTGTCCTGTCAGGTTTTATGTGTCATAGGCCTTATCATCTTAAGTGTGACCTAGTAGAACTGAGGGGGTGAAAAACAGAGTGTTTGTGTGTAGTTAGTTATTACTTGGTGTGTGCTTTTGGTAACTAATGTTTGACAAGTGTTAAACTGTGGTTTGACCAACTCTAGACTAGGGTTGCTGTCAAGAGAAGCAGCTCCATTGCAGCTCATCTTTCTGCTGCTCTGTATGTGCAAAGGCATGGGTGAATAGATGGTGAATTGAGGGAACTTAATTCAGCTGAGACCTGTCCTTCCTTCCCTTTGGCAGAACTGTTCTTCAGATGTAGTTTTCCACCGTAGCTGAACCCAATTTGTTCTGCAAGCACCTGCATCTGCATGAAGTTTTAAGAAAGAGTTGGAAATTCCAAGACAAGATTGTGTCTTCTGGCAGCAGTGGCAGCTGGAGGTGGCTATCCAGTCAGAGCCTCAAGGTTGGTTTCTTGGCAGCAGTCAGCATGTGAACAGGGTTTTAGTTTTTGATCTCTTCTGGAGCAGAACAAATGCTATGTAGTCTTCTGCAGTACTAAATCACCAGAGATGCCCTTCAGCAGTTTTTTATGAACCCTGATTTGAAGCTCTTGTTTTGAAACTCTTATATGGTCTGTGATGTTAACTCAGGACAAGAGATTGTTGAATTCTTAAACTGCAGAGGCCAGATTCATACAAGAACCTTTGGACGTATTCTTTGTACAAAATATTAAAAACATCTTTCACTTTGGCACATGGCATTGGGTTCTGTGGGTTTTGGTTTTGATTTTTTTTTTTTCACAGCAGTATCTTGTTTTCTTATCGAGTATTCCATCTAGTTTGAGCTAGTGATGGTGCTTGTCTTCTAGAAATTGCCATGCTAATTGATACTGGTAGAATAAAGTCTCTCAAAGTTTTCTCCAGATTGTTAAAATACTCTCTGTGGTATAATGCATCCAAATCCGATATGGTACGTATGTTTTTGTGTTCACTAAGTTGCTGGAAGGACTGAGAGTTCTGACAGTAACTTTGCAAAGAAGTAGGACAGAGAGCATAAAAGCATTATCTATACCTGTTGTTCCCTAATGCAATAGCAGCTTTCCTGGTTGTCAAATTAAAATTTTTCACTGGCTTATTATTTTTGACAGTCAAAAGAAAGAACGGAAGAGAATACAAACTATGAAAGTGTTGGTTATTGGCCTTGGAGGGTAAGTATTGACTAGTTAAATTTCCTGTAAATCTTCAGACTATTTGTTTTGAAATCATGTGATCCTGTTTCTATTCAAGATATATTTTTGAGATATACTTTCAAAACAGATTTCAAATATATATCGAAATATGTATGTATGTATATAATAAATGTAGTACTTCAGAAGTTGTCCCTGTCTTTTTCATAAATCTCAGATGCCATCTTTATTCCTTTGCCCCTGTTAGATTTATTCTGTGAAAGCTGTTAGAACTTGCCAGCAAATATATAGATGTAGGGAGTATTTAATAAACTTGTTGGCTTTTAGATTGTATCTGTATTTTGGATTACCATAAATATATTTATATATAAGTGGGTGTGTCTGTGCATACATCTCTGTGTGTGTATTTTACTGTGTTTTCTAATTCAGTGTAACAAATGGGGGGAAAACAACACTGGCAAAGAAGCTTCAGAAAATTCTTCCAAACTGTGACATAATCTGTCAGGATGACTTCTTTAAGGTAAAGGCATTGATAGAAGATCAGATAGATGAAAGTAAGCTGAAGATTAGTTTTAGTATCATTTTTTCCATTTTAGTTCTTCTATTGATAAACTTTTTAAAATGCCTGGCTGCTTGCAGTCATGTTAACTTTAAGTGAAAGAGGAATAAAACAAGAATAGAAGGAGATTGTCAAAAATTCTGTCTGTGCTCAACCAAAAAGGAGTTTGCTGTATTCTTTGGTACTCTTGTTAAAGAAGAGGTGTATGTTGGGTACATTTTACAAGGTGTTCTGTGCTCATGAAGCTAATTATATTTTTGTCTTAATCCTAGATAGAGAATCCGGGCAGACATATTGTTCTGTGTTTTCCAAATTTAAAAAGTAACCCTTGAATTAACATTGGAATTATTAAAAAGGATGAAGTAATTCTTATTTTGAGAGAATAAAGTTTGAATGAATTTAAGAGATATTATTTGAAGAATCTATTGTTCCAGATCAAAGAAAGTATCTTGTATGCTTGTATGCAGCAGTTGAGTTTTGAAGATCAATTTTATTGCTTATAATACAGTGATACCGTAACTCATATGTTTGTAATTTAGAAGAATGTATCTGTGAAAATGTTTGTAAGAGCAGCCTGGAAAATATATTTATTTTTTTCTCTCCAGCCAGAATCTGAAGTGGAGACAGATCAACGAGGATTTAAGCTATATGATGGTCAGTAAATTTGATATTTTGATAACTTTGATAGAGAACTTTTTACTGAAATGTCTGCTGTGTAGAAATTTAGTACTTCTTCCCCCTCCTCCCTTCTGCTGAGAGCACATTAGTGAGCAAATGATTGTTTTAGCGGGGGAAGGGGGGAATCAGTTTCCCTCTGTTCACCACTATGTAAACAAAAAATAGCTGAAGCTCTTTTCTTTCTTTTTTTGGGGTGTGTGTGTGTGTGTGTGTGTGAAGATGTTTTGGGTGTAACCTTGCTCCTTTTAATTAACGCTTATAGTTAGATTATTTGACTTTTACTGACTGAGAGGTACTGAAGGGTACTTTTAATTCTTCTCTAAGAAATGTTTTTGTGTTTTTGGTTTCGTCTAGTTCTTGATGCACTCTATATGGATGAAATGGTGAAATGTATTCGCAGTTGGATGAATAACCCAGCATACTCATGTGCCTTGACTGAAGTAACACAGACAGCATGTATCAATCCAAAAAATACAGAAGATGTTTATATTTTGATTGTGGAAGGCTTTCTTTTGTATAATTATGAGTAAGCAATATTAGATAACCTGACCTGATATATTAAAAGCTTCCCTACAAGGGAAAAAAAGAACTGAATATGTTGTTGTCGTAGGCCACTTAATGAACTATGGGATAGAAGATATTTTCTGACCCTTCCTTATGAAGAGTGCAAAAGGAGGAGGAGGTAAGATTATTTAGTTGTTACTCACTGAGGATCACTGTATTACTTAGCATGGAGTGGGTCGTTTGTGCTAGATTTTCTTCTGTTCTTAACAAATATAAGCTAGTAATATCAGCTGTCCTGTGATTCACAGGGAAGCTTGTGTAAGGGATTTGACAAGCATTAACAGACATTTCTGTCATTTAGATCATAAGGTTATTATTTAAAATGTTAAATGCCTTAAAAACATTAGAGAGATTCCTTAGCTCAGAAAAAATATTTGACTGCATGTTGCAGTTAAACTATGTTAAAAGTGAGAAACAGTCCTGAAAACATAAGACATTCTTAACCTTGGGTGAATACAGCTGTGGGTAATTAATTTTAATAATATTCATGTGTGGGTTTAGAGTGTATTTGGTTTAGACTGTATGTTAGTTATATACTATGTATTTGGCTTAGACTACTAATCGAATGTCTGACTTGGTTCTAAATTGGTCTGAATCATGCACTGAAGAAATCCATGTATATGAAGTCAGAAACTGTTGGCTGAGTGAGGAAATGCTTTGTTTAGTTGACTTTCTTATTCATGTGGCCAAGGTTCCTGGCAGACTCCACTTTCTTAATTCCTTTCTCGGCTTGCTTTAAAGGAGTTTGGTGTTCAGGCTGGAAATAATAGGTGAAACTGGTAGTCACCTAAAACCTGAAAAATCTGTACACCTGATAAATAGGAAAATAAATGCTTTGGTAATGCTTTTGATAAAGCTTCATATACTAGAGAAAGATATTGCAGAGAAACCTTCCTTTTACTCATCTTAAACATGATTTGATGTGCCAAAATAGGTAATTCAGTAAGAGTTCATAATACTGATTTTACTATAGGTGCTGATTTTGTAAAGAAGCTGCCCTTGCTCCAGCAGTTAGGTAGCTTCCCTGCCTATTTGTATTTGGGTAGATGCTCTAATTAAACCAGTTGATACAGGGGGATAAATGTAAAACTTGCATGGGAAAGCAAACATATTTTTGTGTAGCACCAGAGTCTATCAGCCAGCAGATACACCGGGGTACTTCGATGGACACGTGTGGCCTATGTATCTGAAATATAAAAATGAATTGGAAGAAAATGCAAGTAATATTGGTATGCTATCCTTGATTTTAAACTTATAAAACAATTAAACATAAAATTTAGGAGGGTGGGTTTGTTTGTTAATTTCGTCCCCTAACGGAACTAGCATTCTTTTATAAATATATATATATATATATATATTCATATATATATAGTGGTGTTTGGTTAGTAGGTTTGGACCTTCCTGTTGCTTTCTCAAGTTGCTTTTTTTTTTAATAGAAATATGTAAATTAAGAGATTACAATGGAAAGAAATATCCTGATGACTGATTAAGTCTGTGCATGTAACAAGCCAGCTTAGGTGTGCATATATGTATACACGGATATGTCTAAATGTATTGGGCAAATTCTTCAAAAGAATTAAAATTCTGCTGATGTCCTGAAGATCTAAACTTCCTTGCTGCTTCTAGAATATACTACAGTTGCCAGTTTTACATAAGAAATGTCACAGTTGGGTATATTGCTCTGCAATGTTTGTGCTGTGAGAGCTGTTGGCACTGCCAGGTCCTGAATGTGGGGTCGGGGGGTGAGAAGCATAACCGCTTGGCAGATTGGGGAGTTCTAGATGCCCAGTGAGAACAGGACAGCAATACCCTTCTTTGCCTTGCTCAGTCAGACCCTAGCTGAGGCAGAACCCAATTTCCACTACATAGGGATCTTTCTGATGAATTATTCCATTACTCTGCTGCCCAATGTTATCATCTCTACCTTTCTGGGTATTTTTGGACCACAATATTTGTAAATGTGATCTTAACTGAAATACCCTTCCATTGTGCTTGTTGTTGCTCTTTTTAACACTTAATTTGAATCCAGGACAGAACCAAAGGGACTATGGTTCTTGTCCTTTATTTTGTTTACCTCTTATGATTGCGCTTATATGACTACTAAAAGTTTTCTTAATTGTTATTATAGATAATTGGCATAGAATTGATGTTAAAATTTCTTTCTTATTTTTTTTAGTTTATTTGGATGGAACAAAACCACAGGAGGAACTTTTATCCCGTGTGTACAATGATATAATACAGGAATTAACAAAGCAAAGGGAAGGAAGTAAGTAATTTTGTTGGAAATTGAATCTGCCTCTTCCATTCCAAGTTAATAAGTGATCCTTCTGTATGGTAACAGTGTGTGGATTATGCAGGCCTCTATCTGTATGCCACAGTCCTTATCTATGTCTGTCTATTACTTTACATCATAGCAAGGTATAACCTCTTTAGTTAATTGAAATTGGATTTTCTTAAATAATAGGTGAATCTACTGCTAAAAAAGCAGAGGAGAAGCCCAGCCCAGAAGAGGGGAAGGAGGGGTAAAACATGACTGAAAGCATTCCTAATCTGACATATTTGGGGAAGTTAGTTTCTCCTAATAGTACCACATGCAAGAAGAGAAACGCCACGCCAGGTGACATGTACTTTTTTTTTTTAATTTTAGGCAAACAAGGCACATCCTAATAATGTAGAAAGTTTGGATTCTCTCTGATGGCAGACTAAAAACTGAATACTGTTGTACTTGGCAAGACAACTGAGCAGATGTTACATGTATCTCCGTAACACCAGTGCATACAACACAAGTAGATTTGTAGCGACTATTAGTACTCAACAATGTGAGAGGCTTAACAGAGCTATAAAAGTGCTGTATTTTTAGCATTCCTTCTAACCGTAATACTCCAGCCAATCTTTAAATTTGATTTCATGCTTACATTTTTAAAGAATATAAACAAATGTTTTTAATAGAGGAAAAAGAAATATAAAGATGCAGTTTTGATTATTAATAACGATGTTGGAACATAGATGTATGCAATTTCAAATGACCATATAATATGTGTAGAGGAAGAGGCTACATACTGTTGTTAAAAAGGCAATAGTAATTTTAAGACTGTATAGTTAAGAGCTGGTACATTGCTTATTCAGTAACAGGAGCTATTACTGATAAAAGTAAACATACTTAGACTTGCTAATACTTACATGGTGTTTTTCAAGTAATTTGGATATGGCAGATTATTTGAAGTAGTTGGGAGCAGATATTAAAAAAATGAAGAGAAATCAGGTGGTTGGAAAGATGTGTGAATTAAGATGTCAGTAAGAACGCAAATGCATTGATGAAAGAGTTAAGTCATAAGGTTAAGTAATGTGTCATGGAAAAATGGAGAAATGGCATGGCAAAGTAGTAGATGGTAAGTGCATGCTTTACGGAAGAGAACAGAAAAATATTCTTAATTTTAAAAACTAATGTTGAAATTATATTAATGTATTTTACAAGCAATTATTCTAAATTTATGCTAAAACTTCTTACATAGTTTGAGTATATATTAAATATATAAACTAAGAAGCAGAATCAGCTTCAGTTGTTGAAGAAGTAGTAAATCAGCTCTTACTTTCTCTAAATGCCTTCTTGAATTTTTACTAGATTTTTAAAAACTTTTAAAACTGAACTGCAAACATTAAAAGATAAGGGTAAACTACATATTATGCTTTGGCTGACTTGATCATGGTGATTGAAATGTACTAGTTTGTTATTAAACAATAGGAGTCCTAAAGCTGTAAAAAGGCCTGAAACAGATGAGAGCTGTGTAAAACTATCTGTAAGACACAGACTTCTAAATGCTAATTTGTATAATTATTTTTTAATAAAAAATAGTTGCACGTGCTCAAATGCGTTGATGGAGTCTTTGGCTTGAGACTGTGTTTTAGTTTTCGTTTAATGTTGGAAAAGGTGCAACTGAGAGAGTGTGGCAAATACATGGAGCTATTGCCTCTCCTCCTGTCTCTGTGAAGAATTTGCAGGCTCTGGGTACATGTTCTTAAATGAAGAAATGCATGAGTACAGTTTCAAGAGACTTGATGTTTCCAGAGGAATGTAAGTGATGCTTTTGTGAACTGAAAAGGATAGGAAGCAAAGCCTAAGACTTGATGGGCATTTTTCAGAAAGAACTCAAGTATTAGCAGTCCCCAAGTGGTCTTGCTCAGCAAGTTCTACAGCTTTCACAAGTTATCTCATGTTAAGCCAGTGACAAGGAACTTCCTTTCTGAGTTTTGTGGGATCCTCTCATGGGTAGCAGCGGTGGTAAAGCTTCAGTAAAGATTTATGCATCTGTGAAAAAATATTTGAAATCATTTCTCTACATGTACATGGTACTTAACTTGAAATTGGACATCACAGCTTAGGGCAGATAATCACTGATGGTTCTCTGAAGCCATTGGCACAGTGTGGAGCAGTAATCAAAATGCTGGGCTTCTTATGGAAGAGTATGGAGAATAAAACAGGTGGTACTGCTGTGCTGCTGGGGGAAAAGAGTGCACTCAAGTTTTCAGTGCTGGGCACTTCTGGAAGGAGGATATAGTGGAATTAAAACAAAGGTAACTGCTTTGTGAGGAATAATAATAAAAATCAAAATCTTGAAAACCGTAGGTTAAGTGAATGCAAAACTATTATTCATTCTTCCATTTTTTGGAACAGATGTGTCAATTCTCACAGCTAATAGCGAGCTTCTGGAATTGCTGACTAGGAAGCTCATAGACACCAGGCTGTAAGTTGTAGTAAAAGAAACAGGCAGGAGGAACCTTCCTCAAACGACCTGTGAGAAGTGGCCTGGCTCATGCACTTTTTGGTGCTACCACAGCTCAATGTGGTGGGAAAGGCAATGAATTCCCCTGAGTCTCTCTCTGAAAGAAACTACTTCGGCTGCTGCTATAAAAGTTCACAGACTTCCCGTGTGACGTTTGGCACTTCCGGAGACTTGTGTGTTGGCAGAATGCTGTGGAGACAGCACCATCAATGGAGAGACCTGGTCTGGTCTGGTCCTGGCTGCTGCTTCATGCTCTTGCATAGCCCTCGGTCTTTTGTGCTGTCTCTAAAGCAGCTGTGCAGAGCTGCAGGACAGGAACCTGTGTTGAAAAGAGGATTTTTGGCAGCAGTGCCACCTTCTTCTCTACAATTTCAGGCTGGCATAGCCGAGGGAACACATATGCTTAGAAACATGGGGACAAAAGGGTTGTTGCAGTGCAGAGGACTGGTGTGAGTAAAATGGCTGGTATACAGAGAGCAGACAAGGGCAGGGACAGGATTTGTTCTACTTCTAAGAAGGTGATTTCTTCATCATTATGGTGAAAGAACATGATGTAATGATCATTTACGTCGCTGCAACAAACAATTCACAAAACTATTACTCCCTTTCTCATCTTCGGAGGTAATTCTGGAAATTAGAATTCCTAACTCTCAACACTACCACTCTTTGCTCAATGTTGGTTTCATCGCATACATTACTTTCTATCCTACGTAACCACTTCATGACCTATGGGGAACAATTGCCCTTCTCTCCATCCCGCTGGGAAGCATGCCTGTCGTCTAGCACCCACATACTAGAAGAGCCGTTATTCCTTCTCTGGCGTGGGCTGGCCGTGCCACAGCCAGCTGACTGCCACGTGCGGCCTCGCTTTGCACGATGTGCGGACGGTGCCTGCTCAGACACGTTCTGCCGGGAGGAGGTGACGCTCCCGGCTGCCTGGAGGCCCAAAGGGCAAAGCGGTGCTTGTGGGGGCAACGAGTGCGGTGCCGTGACTTGCCCACCGTGGCGCTGCGTAGCTAACACTATTTCTGCCCCCCCTGCAGTCAGTTCTCAGGCTCCCTTGCAGAAAGCATAGTCTGGCTTTAACCTAATGCTTACATTATTTTCTCCAGAGCTCCCTTTGCAGTTTCCTGCTCATCAGCATTGAACGCCTTATTGTGAGTTGCACCAGAGAACGTTCAGGTCAGACATCAGAAAGAATGCCTACACGGAAAGGGTGGTGAAGCCTTGGGACAGGCTGCCCAGGGAAGTGGTGGAGTCACTGTCCCTGGCAGTGCTCAAGAAGCACACAGATGAGGCACTTAGGGACATGGTTTAGCAGGCAGGGTGCCGAGGGGTTTACGTTGGGCTCAATGATCTTGAAGGCCTTTTCCAACCATAATGGCACCTTGCCAGCAGCAGCACGTGCGCAGACAAGCACACGAGCAGGAGCTGGGTTCTGATTGCCTGTCTCGTAGTGTTTTTGTATTAAACTTGTGGGGTTTTTGCCCTGGGCCCACGCTGAGGTACCTGCAGGGACGTTT